AAGCGAGCCATCAAGCTCAAGCGCCCACCCCAACGTAGGCCTTGCTGAAGGGGGAGCCGGACACTCACCGTGGCTGGCAACCTGGATCCACAACACTGTACTACAGAGACTCTGGGCACGCGCTATATAAGCAACCGCTTCACGCGTACCCAGCGGTGCACGACATCGCGAATGACACAATGAACTCACCCAGGCTTCTGGTACACGTCAGTTACCTCAACCATGCTGCTTCCCATAGAAGCAGTGAATATCGTTTAACTGTGGTGTCGTGCCCCTACGACTTAAAAAGTCGCGGTTGTCTGAATCTCCGTCGCGAAACGTGTGCCTATGTTCTTTTAACACAAGTACCTTTTATGTTGTCTTATGATATTGAGTAGAATCCGGGTCCCGTTACTGACATAGAAAATGTTGTTGCTATTGTGCAGCGAATTGAATAAGGTCAATGGAATATCCCAGCAGAAATAGTCTGTAAAAGAAAGCCAAATGATAACAGGTAATGCTATCAAAGAACTTCAGACAACACTCACTGCACTGGAAAAGAAAACACCAGAAGCAAAGAATGCGGAATAACACCGAAAATGAGATTGCTGAATTTCAAGCACCCAGCGAACAAGCAAGAAATCGATTACGTAGAAATAATTTGCTCTACATGGGAATCAAGGACTCCCATGACGAAACTTGTGCGCAATCAGAAACTAGGCTGATATATTTTTGTTCACAGATTTAGAACTTTGACTTTTTAACGAATAACAGAGCGGGCGCATCGTTTGGGCAGGTCAGTTTTGGGTAAAAATTGCCCCATCATTGTTCAACTTAGTCTATTTAAAGATAAAGAGTCAATTTTAGTCTGTGAACGCAAATTAAAAAGGAACTACCTTCGCAATTCGTGAAGATTTCTCGGCAGCAACGAAATTCGCACGCAACACACTACTTCTATTTGTCAAACAAAAAAAAAAAGTCCCTTTAAGCCGCATCTTGACAAGCTCTACATGGGCAAGTCATGCAATGTCTACGATACCGCCTCGGATTCTACCGTTGAAACCAGCAGCTAGCCAGGTTATTCCCGAAGAACCAATGATGTCCTTATTACAAAGAATAAGCCTGATAAGCTGCTTCAGCCTTCTATTATCTTCACTAAATTATGTAGCGTCATGCTAAAACGTACGGACCTTTATAGCCTCATTGATGATTGTACAGCTGACATTGTCATCCTCCCAGAAAGGTGGCTAACAGATAATGTGCATTGCAGTAAAATATTTCCTCCTCACATGAACTTATAATATTTATCGTCGTGATCGACACTCGCGGAGGGGAGGCGGCGTTTTGGTTGCTACAAAAAATAACATATCATGCAACTGCGCCAGTCATAACAGTTTCATTGAACCAATATAAGTTTTCATCAGATCCCTAACTTCCGAAGTAATCATTGGGGTTTATTATAGGCCACCGGACAGCAGCGAGGGTTTAGTTGGTGATCTATGAGATGCCCTTGATAAACTTAGAAGCGGACATCATAAAGCACCGTTCTTCCTTTTTGGCGACTTCAACTACCTAGATATCAACTGGACCTCACTCACAGTCACGGGGAAAACTGCCGCAAATGAATTTAAAACTTTCCTTGATTGGACACTTGACTTCACCCTCACTGAAGTCATTAACCAACCAAGTAGACTCGGCAACAAACTCGATCTCCCATTCTCAACCACCCCCGAGCATATTCAAAATGTTATTCATTTGTTGGCATTAAGTGATCGCAAATCTTAAACATTACTCTGTCACTTCCAGTCCACAGAAATATGACCACGCAAAAATCTATCAAAGATTATAAAAAAGGAAACTTTATTAACGTTGAACTTCACGCCTATCACAGAGAGTTCAATGGACACCTTACTTCCAGAACTGATGAAGAAAACTGGAACCTATTTCAACATAAGCTGACCGAACTCATTGATCGGTCAGCTTATGGGAATCATTGCTGGTTTATCAAGACTCTCAAAGCTCTAAGTAACGAAACGAAACGCATTTGCAACAAAGAAAAAAGCGCTGGCCTCATTCAAGGCTAAAAAGCAAACAGAAAATTCTCAAAGGAATAAAAACAAATTAAACATGCTAAACTTCTTTTTTTTTTTTTTTGGTCCGAAGACGTCTTATCTATTTTTCGCACGAATCCAACCCGATGTTGGCAGCTTCTGTCACCAAACTTCTATTTTCGATCACTAAAGTTCGACAGAATTAAGGATCCTATGTATGATGGGGTCTGCGAAACAGCCCTAAACAACTTTTTTTAATTGAAAATCACGACAAAATTCCCTCTTCTCTCACATTGCCAACCAACATCATGCCACCTGCAACAATATCACCCGCTGAAATAAGTTCCCTTATCGACAAACTAAAACTATCATCGTATGCAAGGGCAGATAATATTAACTCCAACATTCTTAAGAGCAGTGATATAATTACCAGTTTAGATCTCAGCTTAATTATTTCTCAATCTCTATCCACTTGCCGTAATCAAAAAGTTCGGAAAATTGAGAAGATAGTCTCCGTCCATAAAAAGTGTAGCCGGTCACTCGCATCTAATTACCGTACAATTTCTTTAACTGGTGCTCCATCAAAACTTTTGGAACATATACTCGGCTCCAGCATAGTGAATCACCTTAACTCGATTAGTTCCTTTTACCCTCATCAACATGGCTTTCTAAAAAAGTTTTCTTGCAAAACACAACTTGCTAAATTTACTCGCGACTTTTATGTTAACATGAATAACATTTATCAAACGAATTTCATATTCCTGAATTTTTCCGAGACCTTCGATTCAGTGCCACATAATTCTCTTCTCTCTAAGCTTTCGGTGCTTGACCTTGAACCAGGCCATCACCTCCTGGATTTATGATTTTCTGTTTCCTGATTACAGCTCACACTAACTAATATTCATAAATCACCCCCTGCAAACGTAACTTCAGGTTTTCCCAGGGTGCAGGAATTTCTCCACTTTTATTTCTTATATACATAATCGACCTTCCGCATGGCATCAATTAAGAAATCAGACTCTTCGCCGAAGGTTGCGTCATTTACCATCCGTTCTCAAATCCCCCCATCATCTTATTCTAAAAACGGTCTGACACGAATTGGCACATGGTGCGATAAATGGCTTAAGCCTGTTAACCAAGAGAAAAGCAAATTTTTATATTTCATACGGAAAACAAACCTACAGTTATTTATCCATACTTTAAGCGGTGTTGTGATCGGCACTGCATCATTTTATAAGTACGTTGGTGTTCATTTAGTTCAATCACCCTCATGGATTCAACATGTCGACGTTGTTACTAGTTGAAGCATCACGCACCCTCGGATACTTGAAATGCACTCTGAAATCAGTACCCTCTCACCTGAGAAAAGTGGCTTACATAAGATTTGTACGTCCAAAGCTAGAATATGAAATATCATCTGGCATCCTTCACAAGTCAACCTCACTGATAACCTTGAAGCAAACTCACACCCTGCAGCTCGACCTATTATATCAACATATTACTACGACGTCAGTGTAAAAACAACTTGAACAACCCCCAGAACTTCTGTTATTATTTGACCACAGACTAAGCTCTCGAATGTGCCTAAACATTTACCAAAAAAACGCAGGTCCATATGACACACTTCTTTGACCACCAGATAAGATATCATCTAGCCCAAATCACAGACACTGCATCAAATGAATAACAGGAAAAACACTTGCCTTTCATAACTGATTTTCTCCCCAAGCTATAATCATCTGGGACTCCCTCCCCGAGAAAACAGTACTTATTTCGAACTAATCCAATTTCCGCCAGTCATTCACCTTGCACCTCTGCTAACCACCACTGTCCTACCAGATTGTCACTATATGCGCGTTTTATCACTATTGTTTCTACTTTTTTTTTGTTCGCTCACATCCCCCTTAATTAATGCACCGTCGGGCCCTTAAGGAGAAATAACTGAACTGAAAATAAAAGAGAAACCTAGCCCTATTTGGGTACAAGTTGTGTAGACAGCCTGCCGCCCGTAAATGTATGGCAAGCTAACGTCCACCCTAAATATCGAACCTTTTTTTTTTGCTTATTTGAACTTCTCAACAAGGAATTTAATGAGCACTGCTTCTCTAACACTGGCTTTTTTCTAAATGCTTGCGCGTTGCGAAATGGCCCTCGACAATACTAACACTAATATGCCAAAATGAGTGCATTCTTATTCCTGCAGCATTGGTACTAATGACAACGATACAAAAAGCAAATGCAAATACAGAATGTTTCATTGTGCAAAATGAGCTAATGTATTGAGCAACGTATGTTTCAATGTATTATTACTTATGGTGGAGCTAAAATTAAGTTTTATCGATGCAATTTTTTTACAATATACTAAGATAGGACGTGAGTGGAAACCAGATTGATTAGTGTAGCTAAATGAATACTTCGTAAGGGCACTTCGTTTATATGTCACATATCTGACCTGCATCCTTCACAGCGTCATAGACGTTGAAGATCACAAATTCTTACAGTGCGTCTTGTTGTGAACTGTTTTTGTTTTCATATTGTACACAGGGTGCTTCTGTCTGGTTTTGTTAATTGTGTTTTTATGCTATCCTAATGCTGTAAACCATCCTGCTAGAATCTCCTTGTGAGATTGTAAGTATTTCCCCCCCCCCCCCCCGTGCATGATGCACAACAAGCAACTCAACTCAATCCATTGCATTGGCTGCACTCTGCGCAAAACTTAGTGTATCCCAATATTACCTTGGGTGAAGCCTGACCTTAATTGCGTACTTAGGATTTATGATAGAAACAGGCACAGTCAATTCAAGATTTTCTTTCTCATTTCCGCAGGGAGAGATCCGGTATTTTCTGATTATCTTGCACAGCGCAGTCTTTAACTCGAGGAGGGCAAACCGCATTCCTATACACATTCTCGGCCCCAGGCCGAACGGAATGAAAGCCGCTGGATGATGTGGTGGTGCATCCGGATCAAACCTTTCAGGATCAAACTTGAAAGGGTCGGGCCATAGCTCGGCGTCGTGATGAATGTGCCACACCGGGACCATTATATTGACGCCCTTAGGAAAGAACTGACCCAAGATCGTCGTGTCGGCCCTGCAAGCCCTCGAGAGGAGCAGCACGACAGGTGGGTACAGACGCAGACATTCTTGTACCACCATGTCCAGACGCTGGAGTCGCATCAGTCTTTCATAGTCCAGGCGCTCGTTTGGAGATGCGGCAACGAGCTCGGCGTGGAGAGTCTCTTGTTCGTCGGGGTGTTGAGAAAGAAGGTGCATGATGAACCCCAGTGAGGTGGCAGTGGTCTCGAATCCCGCAATGAGCAGAATGAAGCTATTGGCGAGGAGCTTATCGTCACTTATCACGAACCCTCCGTCACATTCTGTCTTGTCCGCGTCGACTGTATCGGAGCCTTTGCCGGCCTGGGCGTCGAGTAAGAGTTGGAGCATGTCGATCGGGCGGTGCTTTGTGTCGCGTCGGCGGAGTTCGACGACGTGCCTCAGGTTGTTGATGATGGCGAATGTGTCTTCCGCGTGCTTCGTGTGCGGATAAACCCACTCTGCGAGATTACGCAGAAATGGAAAAGCCACGAAGGTATTTGTGACTGGTGTCTCTGCATTGTCGAAAATATGTCGAAGTTGCAAGACGACGGGATCGTCCGGGTTCTTTTGGCAGTCCACCTGGTAGCAAGAGAAATAGACAGGGAATTAACGAAGGAATCGCATCAATTCACACCCACTATTTTTCGTTAAAAACCACTAGCGAGATATATTCAATAAGCGCTAGTTATCACGACCATAACCGCCATTATGTACACGTGCTTGTTACTTTGTGTTCTCCGAGCAACACAAACAATTTTTGAATTAGCTTTTCTTATTTGTTTATTGTTTGTAGAAGGTCCTGTGTTGGATTTTCTAGCGTATATCTCTCATGCGTTGGTTTTTCTGTGAAATCACTCTAACAAAATGAGAGAAACCTGAAAAGGTTAATGCATGCACAGTTGAAACCTTGCCAGCCTGCCAGGGAACATTGTTCTGCATTTCAAGTTTGGCGTTTTTTGTTTTAACTCCCAATAATATTCATCACTGGAATTTATGCTTCAATTGTCATATTTATACTTGCACAAGTAAGATAACTTACACAAGGTTTGAACTGTGCATTCTGAAGGAACGAGGAAGAGGGCACTCATTAAGTAATCTGCGTCACAAAATAACGGATTATCAAACGAACTTCTGTATAAGAAATAATTACTGCACCATCTAAAACACTCCAATTACAGCTATGTGTACATTCGCTATTCACTACGTTACCAAAGCATAAGTTATACGCTGAAGTCTTGCGAAGTGCCTCGCTGGAAAAAAAAAAAAGTTAATGACATTCGAAAATTGTCCTCAGGGCATATATTTTAGGCTAATGACACCCGCCCCCTTTCTAGGATTACACCTTTGAAATAAAAGTGTAATTGGCATGTAGAACACGAGAGGCCACGGCCAAGCCAAATGCTAAGATTGTTTTGAATTGTGTTTTATCTGTGAACACAGTGTGTGGCTTCAGCAAATTCGCAATTAAAAGAAATTAGCACAAAAATATTACCGCCCTTCCTTGGGCGAGTCTACAACATGAAACGCTCCGAGCTCCCACACACGCGCCAAGAGCTAATTTTGGCTGGGCCACGGCCTCATTATCTGTGGGGTACTTGTCCGGACTGCTGACGTCCCTAAAGGCATTGTTATCGTTGGTACAATGTCAACCTTGGGTGTTTTACGTGCCAAACCAACGACGGCCATTTGGCACGTCGCAGCGGCGAACTGAGGATTAATCGAAAACACCTGGGGATCGTTTGACGTCCAACGCTTTCTTGAACCACAAAAAGGCGCACGTGCAAGCAGGCTAGCTTGCCACTACCTGTGAAGATGATACGCTTTTTTTTCTCGGTTCTCACAGTGTGCACCCAGCCCTGGACGTATAATCCACGTACAACTAAAAAAAAAATGTTTTGAAAAATGCCATGTGAAAAAGGCCATGTACAAACAAAAAAAGAGAAAACAAACAATATATTTAGCGGATCAACTCAAAAGCAGCAAAGGGGTATATTGTGTTCCATCACGTAAATCTCTGTTATTATTTAATAAAATCAATTTATTTAATGCTCCAGTAAACCTCTAAGGCATTTGAGAAACCGAGGCATGCAGTCTGGTTTACTTTACGATTTCCAGTGTCTATCAGCACAACAAAATGAATGCCTTTACAGGGCTTTCAGGAAAATAACCTCTATCGTTCTGTATGCTTTAAATTGAAAGGTATTGCGTATGTCAAGAGCGAAATTCATTCCCCTTTAAACTACCACACTCTAAAATATTTTGTTTGTATTACGTGGTTAGCCATATAGAGGGCCGATAATAATGCTTTTAGATGTGACTCCCGCGAACACGGTAGTCAAGGGAAATGCATCGTTTAGGAATGTAATCGGCGCTGGTAAGCAAAACATGAAATTTCGCTTGCACATTGTGCAGGCCAATATCTTTTTAAGCGTGTATTTTGTTTCCGGTTGTGCATTTGTTATAGTGCATTTCCGGAATTCACTGCCACCTAGTGACACAAATGGCAGTTTAACTTATACCGTATTAAAGGCGGCAATGAACCTGCGATCAGCATTAATTTATGGGGAACCGTCATTTTCGCAAATCAATCAAAACCGAGAATGTGCGCTTCATTGTACCGTTTTTTTTTTCAACTTCAGTATCGATGGCGAAACAAATGCAACCACAAAAAACGAAGTGCCAACCCACATAGACGCTTTGATAAAGTTCTAAGCATCAAGAGTTTTCGAAGCTATATGGGTTCGAGTTAGAAATGAACGCTTACGCAGCTCTTGCATCCCATTCTTGCTTCACGTCGCGCAGATTTGTAGAATGTATAGGCCACGAATCATCTGCTTACAAGCATCTTCAACTTCTTTCTTCATCAGTAAACAAAAGGCCGCCATTAATATAGCACATACGCCATTTTTTAGGTTGATGAGAGTGATCAAAGTGGCCAGACTGAATTCTGAAAAAGGTCTATTGTAACCGGCCTAATAAAAACCAACAAATAAGAACTAATAGTATTGATCAATAAAAATAACGCCGAATTAGAGCGCAGCTCTTGAGGAGGAGGAGGGGAAGGGTAGTGAGTTTCACGTGTTATCGGGGGGAAGGGGTGGTCACGTGACCTTGGAGGGGTCACATGACCCCCTCGCCAAGGTCACGGGGGGGGGGGGGGGGTCACGTGAACTCGGGGGGTCACCTGACCTGAAGAGAAATTTTTCCGCTAGATTCAGCGGGGAAATTTTTGCCGCGAGATTTAGCGGGAAAGTTTTTCGCTAGATTTAGCGGGGAAATGTTTCCGCTAGATTTAGCGTGGAAATTTTTCCGCTGGATTTAGCGGGGAAATTTTTCCGCTAGATTTAGCGTGGAAATTTTTCCGCTGGACTTAGCGGGGAAATTTTTTCGCTAGATTTAGCAGGGAAATTATTCCGCTAGATTTAGCGCGGAAATTTTTCCGCTAGATATAGCGGGGAAATTATTCCGCTAGATTTAGCGGGGAAATTTTCCCGCTAGATTTAGCGGGGAAATTATTCCGCTAGATTTAGCGGGGAAATTTTTCCGCTAGATTTAGCGGGGAAATTATTCCGCTAGGTTTAGCGGGAAAGTTTTTCCGCTAGATTTAGCGGGGAAATTTTTCCGCTAGATTTAGCGGGGAAAATTTCCGCTAGATTTAGCGGGGAAATTTTTCTGCTAGATTTAGCGGGGAAAATACCGCTAGATTTAGCGGGGAAATTTTTCCGCTAGATTTAGCGGGGAAATTTTTCCGCTAGATTTAGCGGGGAAATTTTTCCGCTAAATTTAGCGGGGAAATTTTTCCGCTAAATTTAGCGGGGAAATTTACCCATAATGCACCACGCGGTTACGCCGACGCCGACGCCGCTCAAGCCGGAAACGGGCGCCTAAGAGCTGCGCTCTAAAATGGAGTGGTTTTCAGTCAATAGTCGGTACAAAGTAACGCACACTCCCCGAGATTGACTTTCTACGTGCTGAACGAGAAAAACGTACTGCTAGCATTTTGATAGCACAAGCTTTTATGGAATTCACACATTGAATGCACGTGCTTTGAAAGTCTTGAAGGTCCTAGAGCCACGAATATTATAAGACAAGCCCGATTATAAGTACAGTCGCGTACGATGCAAAGAAGCCCCCGCGAGCTCATGGCTCCGAAGACCTCCAGGCGTATCCAAGGGACGAATCCCGAGTCATTGGGGATATTGCGCGAACGAGTGATAATTCAGCGTCTGTTCCATTTTTGCTATTACTTTCCATTCGATAGGCAAACAATTTCTGAGTCAACACCAATAATAGTAATGCTCAACAAAAAAGCAAAAAAAAAAAACGCTGATTTTTTTTTTTTTAGCTTTTGATCAATCTTTTGAGAACTCATTGCCCAACCTGCGGACCTGGTGGTTTCAGCCAACGTTCTTGAATATATCGTTAACTACCTCAACAGAACAGCGTCGTTCGAAAAGGGTATGTGTTTTGCACACGATCAGCTACGGGCGGATAGTGTGCCAAGCGCCACCAGGAGCACCGCCTCTTTACCTAACGCAGAATGACCGTTTTCGAGCGAGGTATATTTTGTGGAAATCCTGGCGCAATTTTTATGCTTATTGTAAAAGCCGCAAAAGAATCACCTGCCACCGCGGGCAATCTGCATTCAACGTTCCACCGGTTCAACCGCTTCAGTCCACAGGCCGGGCTGATAGCGTATCAAGCGCCACCTAGAGGACGGGCCACAAAAATGCGCTAGACGTTCTAGGAAGCTTCTCAACACATCGTTGGCGTAGAACATTTTGATTTTAACACATTTTGTACGAAAGTATGTAACAATTTTTCGATTCTTCATTCGAATGCCAGGAGTTTGTGTAACAAGGTTGATGAGGTTGAGTGTTTTGTTAATTCCCTAGACAATGAAATCTGATGTTCTAGCATTTACCGAGACCTGGTTTCGTAACTATGACGTTTGTTTGAATGGGTATCATTGTGAGACTGTAAATCAACCTCAGAAGACTGGTGGTGGTGTTGCCATATACATAAAGAACAGTGTTGCTTTTAAGTTAATCAAGGAGTTATCGTCGTGAACCCCCGATTATGAATGTATTGCGATAAACTGTCTAGGTATTCTGGTTGTTATTCTGTACCGCCCCCCTGATGGAAAGAAATGTACATTCTTTGAATTTGTTTGCTCTCTTTTACAATATGTAAGCTCACTCCGTCTCAAAGTGATAATTGTTGATAACATAAACATGGACTTACTCGTTGAAAACACACATCAAGTCGAGTTTCTTACTTTCATCCAGTCTTTCGCATGCTTCAACAGGATCAATACTCCCACCCGTGTAACAGCCACTTCATCTACATTATTAGACGCATGCATAACAAACTTCCACCCAGATGACGTACTGTAAGCAGTCATAACCGCTGGAATAAGCGATCACATGCCCATTTTTTGTCTTTTGCCTAAATTAAAAAAAGGTTAATAATACACCTGTTTCACGCTTATATCGTCATATATCGGAAGAGGCGTTAAATACATTTTATGCCTTACTACAAGAAAAGAATTGGGAAAACGTCCTGTGTGAAAGAAATCCAGATAAGGCATACAACCTATATTATGAAACACTGAAGCTTCCTATGAGACATCTTTACCTCTACAATCGAAAAAAGCAAACAGGAGAATTAGAAAGCCATGGATCATGCAGGAACTCTTCCGTAGGATAGGTGAAAAACATGAGATGTACGATCGCTTTGTTCAGACTCGAAATACTACTATTTTAACGGAATTCAAAAAGTAAAGAAATCGCCTGAACTTCGATATTCGAAAGAAAAAAGAAGCTTTCTTTTAACGTAAGTTTGCAGACGCGCAAAATGATCCGAAAAAGATATGGGAAACTGTTGACGAAATCATTAGACTTAAGACGCGTCACAACTGCTTACCAGATTTAAAAATAGACGGGGAATCGTTACCTGGAACTGAACTAGCGACTCGATTTAACACTCATTTCCTATCAGCTAGTGAATCTACGTCTGCAAGTTAACCTGGTGACCACAGAAAGTACCTAAAAAACGATATTTCAAACTCAATCGTTCTTTATCCAGTGACTGAACACGAAATAATTATGTTAATCATGTCCCTTAAGAACAATTCAGCTTGCGGGGTGGACGAGCTTAAAGTAGCACCTATTAAATTTTTATCTGACATTATTTCAATTCCTCTAACTCACATATGTAATTGTATATTTGAAAGTGGTATTTTTCCAGATTTATTGAAAATAGTGAGAGTTTCAACAATCAGTAAGAGTGGTTCCAAACATGACTTAGTAAACTACAGACCAATATCAGTGTTGCCGTTGTTCTCAAAAGTAATTGAAAAAGCAACTAAGGAAAGGCTGCAAAAGTTTTTTTCTAGGTACGATGTCATAGTCAAGCAACAGTATGGTTTTCAAAAGGGAAAAACTACCGAACTTGCGCTTTTGCACATTAAAGAAAAAATATTACGCAACGTTGAAGATCAACGTGTTACAATTGTTTTATTTATCGGTTTTAGGACGGCTTTTGATTCCATAAAACATAACAAACTCCTTTCAAAGCTCAAGACATATGGCATACGCGGGACTGTGCATAAGCTTATTACAAGTTACCTTACATCTCCCACACAGTATATGGTTTATAATAACATAAAATAGCCTCTAGGGTTAATAAAATATGGCGTACCGCAAGGCTCGATACTGAGACCTTTACTGTTTCTCGTTTATATAAATGCCATAAATAAGATACCATTTACTGAAGATTTAATATTGTTTGCCGATGATACAAATGCATTTTTGTCTGGGGCAAATCTTACCGAACTAGAGACCACAATAAACAAATATTTAATTGAACTTTCATCCTGGCTGGTGGCTAACGGTTTATCACTAAATACAGGAAAGACAAAATATGTTATTTTTCCTCAATAAATCGCGCCCACAATACACATATTGAACTGCAATTCGAAAGAGCTCAAATTGAGCGTGTCGATAATCATAAGTTTATTGGAGTATGGTTTAACGAACGCCTCAGTTGGATGCACCATGTAAATAAAATACGAAACGAAATCTCAAAATCGGTATGCCTAATTTCATCTACAAAGCATCTTTTACCGGAATGGCTGAAGTACCAACTGTATTATGCGCTGATATACACCAAGGTTTACTACTGCTTTTTTTTCTGGGGTCAGACAACAAAAACAAATATCACACATCTGCATTTATTAGAAAAAAAAAAAGCTGTTCGCCTAATGCACAATTCAGCTTATGATGCACATACAGCTCCGCTTTTTTGAGAAGTATAAAATTTTTAGCTTTGAACATCTCAACATTTATAAACTTGCACTCTGCATATTCCATG